CGTTTCTCAGATTTCGTTCATTCTGAAGAAATCTGAAAAGTAAATTATTCACTGAAATACCACATGGGATATTGACGTTGCATAAAATTTAAAGCTGGATTATTTCAGAAGTTATGTATTACTTAGTTCAGTTTTTTTTTTGGCTTTAGCTCAAATTCTCCTGCCCAAACATTACCTTCTCAGCAGTAAAAAGATAATTCAAAATCAACAGAGCATCATTTTGTTAGGTGCGGGTAAAACATGGTAAAATTTCAACGTTCACACCCGTCATTCACATCTTCGCTCTATGTTCGTCAAACGAGGAATCTTACTGCTTTGTTGTTTTGCATTTTTATACAAACTTCTGTTGTTTTAATTTATCATTTGATGCCTTTCCCCCTTTTCAGTACAACTGAGTTAAGTGTCTGAGAAAAAAATAATCTTATGCGAAGTTGCAAGTGGCAATGCTGACCATGCATAGAATGTCACAAGTTTATCAACCGTCTTCTTTTACAAACGTGCTAACCATGAACCTTTGCACATTACGCTAGCACCCAGTTCTCTGTTCTGGGTTGGCAAAATGTTAATTTATGCCAATACCGGTTAGCAGAAATTAAATTTTCAAAGAATTAGTTTTGAGATGCCTTTACTTACTTGAGATGATAGTTCTTTATTTCCTCTTCAGACAACATCCCACTTTTAGAAGGTGAAAGTGGGGAATGAAGATTGACAAAAACCTTTTCTCCATTATACAATAGCTGTTGTGAGTTTCCTTCACCTTGGCGACCCACTTTGTACCTGGAACATATATTTGTCATCTCTTGTTCCTTTAGGTGCCTCGGACAACAACACAGAATGAGACCAAAGTCGGAAGGAGGACCATCCATGGCAGAATCACACAAGAATGCTAAAAATTCTGCATGTTGGTGGCTAAGTTGCTTGTATAAACGCCACGCCAGACTGGTTAAACTTGTAAAGGCCTCTCGGAGCTTAACCCAAACCCAAAACCTGCGGTTAAATTAAACGGTCAGAACAAAATCAATTTTAATCTTTCTAGTGACATATCATGATTGAAGGGACCGCAAGGGTGACTGCCATATAAGAAGGACGGGGATGTTCATCGTACCTTTCAGGGGTTAAAAAAGAGGTTTTGGTAGCTCTCAGGGAGTTCAGCCTCAAAACGTCCGTGGCGCGAACGTTAACTTCCTGGTCACTTATATCAACCAGGATAGAGATTTATGACACTGCTTTCGTAAACTTTAGGAGCAGAAGGTATTCGAAGCAATCAACTTTATCTCTTTTAAAAAATGATGTAAAATTCTGTTACTGCATTGTTCTAGAATTCGCTGGTCATGGTTTCCTGGTACACGGAGATCTACACATACTTCAATGATCTTCACTACCGACGTGAAGAATGACTCAGGACTTGGTTCCAACACTAGTTTGGAAATTTTTTGGTATTCATCAGGATCAGGGACAAAAAAAAAAAATACTGTACCAGGTCTACACAAGTGTGTTAGGCTTAGGCATGTCGAAAAAAAAGCTCAAAACATACTCACATTGAGAAGTGGTTTACTTCAAATGCCACGACCCCATTTTTTACATTCAAGTCCCCTGTAATATCAGTCCACTCTGCTGACTCACTACTAGCGGTTAGAACCAAAATCGTCGTATGATCAGAGGGTACATATGGCCATCCTCTATCATCTCGCAATGTCAGTGGAATCGTGATTCTTGCTGGATGTAGGAGTTTCACTTCATCGGAGCACGAAATGTGAAGGATAGGACCAGCGAAAACTACTTCTTTTACCTGGTCACATGGAACCTCTTGCAACTAGA